CAATTTTCGCTTCCCCATCGCAAAAAGAAAAATTCCATTTCTATTAACACAGTCTGAACTCAAATGCAAGCTCAGTACTGATGGAGTTAAAACTGTGTCTTCTGCAATACTGTAGTCCAGTTACGGGTTCAGCAAAAGAATAGTTAAACACTTGCAATGCATTCCAATGATGTGTTCAATGTCCATAAGACAATCCTCCAGAGAGGAGGCATTCATCAGTCAGAAACTCAAAATAACAAAATATATAACGGAAAAAGTTTCCCTGAAAAGCATCGAAGTGCATGAACCTGTCCAACTTACAACAAAAGGGGTGTCCAAAATATAGGGTATTGTGGACATGTAAAATTATAGGATATTCGCCGGTTCCAATTAAAAGTGTCCAATATAAAGGGGTGTCCAACTTGAGGGGTTTTACTGCATTTTCCCTCACGGAGGTTCGAAATTGGTAGAGTGATTGCCGTGTTCGACGACAGGAAAAGAAAAACAACGGAACGAGATTCGTTTATAAAACACAGTAAACATTTACAATGATAAGCAGTAGTTCTTGGCATACTACAGACAGGTTAGTCGAGATCTGCCATCTTCCAATTTGTCACTCTGTCCGTCCGGCCACGTCAATGCCAGACTACACAGCGCAACAACCCAGAAGAAAGAAATCTTCTGAAAAATTATTTGCCATTACCTCATATAACAATTTTCAATTTCAAATGTTCTGTATGGGCGAAGACGTCTCATCGATTTTAACACCATATAGGGCTCAGTTTTCACACACGTTTAAAACAGCAAATAATACAAATTATGATAATTATTATGATAATTACGACAATAACAATTAATTAATAGATTCTAATTTGTACTATACAGCATAACTTAGAATCAGATCCCGTCCTCAAAAAAAAAACCCAGAGCGTTGTTACCGGTCCATAAATCAGAAATATAGCACGCTACATTAGGGGACTAAATTCTAACAAGCTACAGCATATAGAGCCCAAAGTTCGTTTGAATAATATTTACGAAATTAGTCCGTACCTGAAAAAGAATCACGTGGCC